ATTATCATTATCATTATCATTATCATTATCATTATCATTATCATTATCATTATCATTATCATTATCATTATCATTATTATTATTAGTACCTACCTAAAAACTATAAATCAGAAAAAAGTATTTTGATTTTTAAAATAATGTGGTATGTTTTCTTGTAATATGGTATTGCATAAGTGAGAATATCTTGTGGAGAATTTTTATTTTTGTTTGCAGTGCTCGAGTGTGGATAGAAACTTGCAATAGACTCGATTTATTGCCTAGGATTGTGGATGTATATAAAAATTATAGGCTTTAGAACACCATTTCGAAACCAAATATATTGGTAAAGGGAATGTAAGAATAACCTTATTGCCAAACGGAATACCTATGCAGTTTCCTCAACTTAGAAATGGGCAAGAAGAGCTAGAGGCAAAAATTGTGGAAGATTGTCCCATAAAAGTTATTGCATTGTCAGGTACCTATTTTTAAAAAACTATTTCAAATATTGCAGAAAAATATTATATCTGTTTAATAAAAATATTAGTTGGAAAACTTCTTGTTTTATTTTTTTTATATATTATACCTAATTTGTCTACATTTTACCAAAGTTATCCTTGTATTATTTGAACAATGTTTGATACTGATGCAGTTCGTTCAGTGTCATAGACCTTATAAACTACTGGACTCGCCCAACTGTCATTTCCCCTATATAAACGACAATCGCTCAGACGTGTACGAGAGAGATGGAGCTAGTAAGGGCTTAAGCTTCGTTCACAGAATTTCGACTGCAACCCGCTACATTTAATTCAACCAATCAGCTCGATTCCTTACCCCTTTTTTCTGTTGGGCCGTATTCAAAGACTTTATAAAAATAATATAGAGACCAAAAAGACAAAAAATAACAATAGTTTCCAGTAGTGTAGGTATGTAAAAGGGTTTATTTTTATTACTGACCTAATGTAACAGTACAATATTTGAATTGTTTTAGCTATAATAATCCAAATAATTTTTATAATGCCTTATTTATGTATTTCTCCATTTATTTTCCTCATATCGTAAACTTGATCGGTTAAAATTACTGCAAGCTCTTCTGACATAGTTGTTTCAAATATTTCATATTTTCTTGCTTTGCAGAACTGTATATATTGAAACTATGTCGATGCTTTCTTCGTTCAACATATTATTTGAAGAGAATTTTTGCTAAGCACATTTCAGTTAAAACTTTTTCGTTATATTTGGTTTGATGTTAAAAAATAATTTGAAGAGTAACACATTTAAAGCGGCAAAATTTGGACGTTAAAATGACATTTTATTTTGAGGATGGGGGAAATAATATAATCTAATAAGTTATCATCGGAGACAACTCTACTTGGTCATTATTTTCAGAAAGATGC